ACAGTAACGTGAGGACAAGAATCAGAAGCGCTGCCGGTTTGAGTGATGAATTCGAGATGAAGGTGGGAGTTCATCAGGGCTCAGCCCTGAGCCCCCTACTTTTTAACTTGGTCATGGACTTCGTAACTGAACGCGTGCAAGCGCCTTTGCCATGGAACATTTTGTATGCAGATGATATTGCTCTTATTAACAACACAGCAACAGGACTTCAAGCAAACTTAACGTCTTGGATTGAGGCCCCGGAAACAATGGGCCTCAGAATCAGTCGATCTAAGACGGAGCACTTGGAATGCCTTTTTAATAATGATAGCCACCCAACAACAATCCACTATCCTGATAACACGCCCGTACCGACACAATTTAAATACCTAGGCTCAGTTGTTTTAGGAAACGGAGAAATAGAGGCAGATGTGGCGCATAGAGTAAGTGTAGCGTGGCAAAAGTGGAGATCTCTAACAGGAGTTTTATGTGACCCCCGCATGCCTGTACGCACCAAAGGCAAAGTCTATAAGACAGCAGTAAGACCGGCAATATTATACGGGGCGGAATGTTGGCCAGTAAAGAAAACTCATTTGCAGAAACTCCATACCACTGAAATGAAAATGTTGAGGTGGTCTGGCGGAGTCACAAGATTAGACCGAGTCCGAAACGAGCATATCCGGGGTAGTTTCAAAGTTGCTCCCATATCTGAAAAACTTACAGAGAGCCGTCTGCGGTGGTATGGTCACGTAATGCGACGAGACGAGGAACATGTGGTCAGAACGGCTATATTGCTTCCTGAACATAAGAGGCAGAGGGCGCCCTCCCGCCACCTGGTGGACCAGCATGACGAAGCTAATGACAGCTGAAAAATCACCCGAACCGACAAGCATAGACAGAGAGTCCTGGCGCCTTAAAATTAGGAGAGCCGGCCCCATATAAAGTGGGAAGGAGCAAGGACGAAGAAGAAGAAGATTAAGTAAATTAAATAATAAATTCATACATAGACAATAAAACTTTAAAAATCGAACAATGAAATAACCGAACGCTCAATAAATCTTTCGAAGGTAGTTCGACAAATTAAATAAGTTTGATTCTGACGATGTAGCCTGTAAAGGCTACGAAACGTCAATAAATAAATAAAGTTTCGTGCATTAACCCGTAAAAACTAGTTTTATTTAATATATTGTGTATATCAAAATGTATATATATATTTATAGCCTTCGTCCATGTGCATGTGGAAATGAATTCCCCCTAAGTGACTAAACCGAATTTGATGAAATTTTGTGTGCATCTGAGTAAACAAAAACCTCCCTTGACGTTTTTTTATATTCAGATTCACAACTGGGCAAAGGAGATGGCGCTGTAGTGGTGTTCGAGGATTTTTTGTCTTTATTTATTTTATCGAGTTAGTTAGTTATTTCATTTATTTTGTCTTTATCGAGCAAAACATACGGCTATTGTGGCCACGTGTTCAATAATATTTTGATTTAAGCGTTTTATTGCTGCATTCTTTTAACTGAATTAAAAATAAAATTTTCTAGGTGGTAACTACTTCGTGGAAAAGTTATCTTTTATAAAGGATGATTAAAAGAATAAAATCTATCTTACGTCGTTTCCCGGGACTCAAATTATCTCTATACCAAATTTCATCTAAATCGGTTCAGCGGTTTAAGCTTGAAGAGGTAACAGACAGACAGACAGACAAACTTTCGCATTTATAAAATTACATTTTGATATTGTAATTAATTATATTATGGATACAATTCACAATCGATTCCCGGTTTAAAAGTCCACCATTTGAGCACATTACAAAAGCCGAGTCAATCACTTCAATTGAATTAAAATTATTATAAATATACATAACTAGGTAAATTTAATATGTATCTTAATTAGTTTCCTGTGCTGGACTGGGAGCAAAAGGAAAAAAATACGATTTCGTAAAGGATAAGGACAGTATCACAACCCAGACTCGCGATAATAATTCTAAAACAGCATATTTTCTGCTTTCTTTCTTAGTGGATCGACAAGAAATCAGTCTTGGCATCTGAGATAATACGATACGTCAAGTACGATGTGTTCATTACTTGCTTAGAAGATCTACAAATAGTAAGGAGATATTAAAAGAAAGACGGAGGAGTCTTAATCAAAATTTTATTCACTGACTGCACTTATAAATAATTTAATTTACACTATAGGTACACATATATATACATATACAAGGTTAAATTTAAAACACCAACAATCTCTTAGGGTCAATTCACACGTACCACAACCACACCACGTCGCAGCGACAAAAAGTGGTCAAGCTGTGGTTACGTGTGAATAGTGTCGCAGCGGCTTTTTGCAGTTGCGTTCTGGTACCGACAAAATGTCGATGTGGTTGCGTTGTCGCTGTCGTTGCGATGTGGTAACCACGTGGTCATGTGCAGTTATACTCCGGCTTTCGTAGAGGAAACACGGCTTGACTGAACGTAGTCATGGAGGAAAGATGACGTCATGTCGTGGCGATGCGGCTGCGGTGCCGCCGCCGGTGGTGGCGTTGCCGTCGCGATGTGGTTGCGATGTGGTCGTATTACACAGGTGGTCGATAACAACGGCAAAATATGGTACGTGTAAATTGTAATATTAATTTTCAATACAAAATATACGCCCGACCACATGGCGTCGTTGTGGTGTGGTTGTGGCTGTGGTGTGGTTGTGGTACGTGTGAATTGACCCTTAGATGGTGATTTTACCCATCAATATTAACAACTTTTATTATGGGTCCAACACTGAAATCGCGAAAAAAACTGCTGTTTCATACAAAAGTGCATCTGCTAATCGACCGAAATGTATGAAACAGCAGTTTTTTTTTCGCGATTTCAGAGTTGGTCCCATAATAAAAGTTGTTCCCGTTGATGGGTAATCACCCCCTAAGAGGTTGTTGGTGTTTTAAAATTAACCCTGTATGTAGCTATATATAACCAATCACTTGCCAAATCAATTTCAAAGTAGTCCCGGCACGGCCTATTCATATTAGCTTTTTGTAAGCTTGACAACAGTCTGTCTCTATCAAGCTTTATAAGGAATGAAAAGGACAGACTGATGTCAAGTTTACAAATAGTAAACACGAATAGCCAAGTTAAGTGCTGGCAAGAGTAGGTATATAAGAGTATAAAATTTTGAAGTATGCAGAGAAGCGAGTGAAATGTAGAAACAGAAATTGACATTTACTCTCAATCAATATTGAACCTTAATTAAACTTACACAAGATCCGCGTCAATGTTGAACAATATATTGGAGAAATTTTAATTTTGAAGTAGCTGGTGTAATATCTTCATTTAAAATCTTATCTATTAATCGTAGTACCTACCTACCTATTGTTAAAGTTGATCACAAAATATAATTCAGAGCGGGAACTATCACACACCTCCACCAGGATGTTTATAGACAACAATCATGTTTATAGATTTAGCGAACAACGTGTTCATGTGGATAACTGCGATAGTTTTACCAAGTGTATTAACACTAGTAACTTCTTGGTGGCGGGAGACAATGCTCACATACTTTTACAAGCAGAGGAATTGGTCCTAATAGAACATTATTGCTCAGATTATAGAACAGAAGAAATTATATACCTTCTCCTTTTTTTGTAGTTCAAAACAGTTTTTATAATGTTTGACACACACGACCGCGGAATTTTAATACAAGTTCTCTAAAAATTCATGGAACGTATTCACAACATGACACATTGTATAATACTGACGCGAGTTTGTATTCGCTTTCGATTTTTTATTTGATTTTGTTGCCGCACTCTTGTATTACGTGCATTCTTTCGAATTTGGACTGCCGTAATGAATTATCGGGCCATCTAACTTTTGTTCTGTAATATGAGATTTATTGCATTTCAATATCTGTGACTTTATAGTTCCATCATCCCGCCCACGTTTCCATACAACTACGCCACTGATATGAAGGAAAAACTATGTAAGAATAATGCATACTATTGTTAGTACCTCTATCTATTAAAGTCACTGTAGGCACTCGCTTATCTGACATTTTAACAATAAGCAAGTAACTACTATTTAAAAATATCTATATAATATTACACATTATTAAAAAAATTAAAACAATTACATACCATAATATGATACAAAAATAAACCATAATAGCATAGAAAAGACGTCTCTCAATGCCTTATATCAGTACGTATTACAGTCTTACCCTAACTAACCTAAGAAAAAAATCATAAAAAATAGTTTTAAAACAATCAACGCAAGTTACTATAATTCGTGTGCTTTAACTTTAAACTTTAACTATTTATAATCTAATATATTAAATAAACTTGGTTAATTTTATATGTACTAGTATAAATAAAAATTCTCACAATTCACTTTGTATTGCTGTAAATATTGGATTTCTGTCTAAAAAGAACAATTATGCACTTATTTACGTCAATTACAATCACTGCTTCATAACGTTGCATAATGTTTTACTTTATAATTTCCATAAAGTGAGTGACAGCATCTACTTTAGTCAAACTTAAAAGTTAACTGACATCTCTAAGTATAGCCGCCAGTGAGATAAATAATATTTGTGGTGAAAAAGGTTTTAAACTCTTATATAAATGAAACAAGACACTAAAATTCCAATGAGAGAACTATAGGTAAACCGCTTAACTGAGACCTCGCCTCCGGGGTACAGGGTTTGGGGGAGGACGAAATCGCTGGCCGTGAGAAGTGCGGGCGGCGGGCACTTGTAATTTTAACAAGAATGTAGCCCGTCACAGACGTAGCTATAATATATATTAATATGAATCATAGCAAGACATATTACAACATATTTTCAATATAAATTTTCGAGTGACCGCACACGCAGCTATATTGCTGTAAATGTTGGATTTACAGCAATACAATATTTACAGCCAATTCTATGGCGTCACCAAAATATGTCGACAAATATATCTTGGTATATATTGGCACATTAGTATATATTTTGATATATTTTAATGATACGGAATGTTCCCTTTTTTTACCGAACGCCTGCCAAAAAATATAAAAATATATATTATAGTATAGCTCCAGTCTGTGGTAGTTCGCTATAATATAATATATATCTCGATATATTAATATATATTATAGCTACGTCTGTGACGGTCTTGTGCCTGCCGCCCGCATCTGTCACCGTCCATGTTTTTGTCCTCCCCGACACACTTTAAAACGTAGGCAAGGACTCAGTTAAGCGGTCTACCTATAATTTAGCTTTTAAAATAAATGAAAAACAAACTGAAAGGTAGATAACAAGATAGTAAAAAGACAGGGATCAGTAGGTACTGATAGGTATCAGAAACATTAAATTACAAATAGGACATGCTATAATTATTTGTCTTCCTTAAATGACTTTCGTCTTTGTACCTTTAAGATAACCTCCATATTTATTTTACGACGGTACTGGTGTCATTTTCCCCCATCCTATATACACAAAAATTGTCGAGTACGAATACAACAGTCCAAGGGGTGGCGGAGTCTGCCGATTCTTCTTCATAGGAGGCGTTTCAATCTGTGGTCGGGCTGGGTGGTTGATACCCAGTTCCCCGTTGCCAAAACACCCAATGATCCTAGTGTTGGGAAACTCTGCACGGAAATAGTCCTCTTCCATTTCGTGTTTCAAATCGCGACCGACGCAAGCCAGTTTGAGTGCAACGCTATGCTCGAACCTAGGTACTTTTTTAGCAAACTGAAATGCAAAACACAAACGGTATAAGTAGGATAAACATATTTAAATAAAAATTCAAAATTCAATATCGTTTATTCAGTCTAGGCCAGCTATACTCTAAGTGTGTTCCGCGGAACCCTAGGGTTCCGTGATACCTCTGTCGGGGTTCCGCAAGAATTTAGAAATAAAAAAATCAAAACACCTCTCTCTGGTCGCTCCGCGGCTGTGCGGACTCCGCGGCCGCGCGGAGACAAAACGCTATGAATGTTATTTATTTATTTATTTGTATTTGTATAAGCTTGTGTTACATTAGCTGGTACAATATCTCATAAGTTTGGTCTCAACAATTTTATACTTGTACAACGCGTTCGCTCTAAGTTTGCCGGTCTGTGGAATGCGCGTACCCTCCCCCACGTGACAACAAAACTTATAATGTGTCATAGTTTTACCCAAATATCTAACGTACACAATTTTTATTGTTACAATTAAATAAAAAATTTCGAACGTCATACACTCATACCTATCGCCAGCGGCAAACTTAAAACGAGCGGGTAGTATACTTGTAAGCGCTCAGTCTCTTTGATAAAAGCCGCCTCTGAATTAGACGCTATAGTTGTCAACTAGCGACTTTCGTCTCTAACTTCAAAGGATAAAGTCGATATTGTTTACAACGCTATTTTTAAATTTCTGTTTTTATTTTTGCTTTTTGTTTATCAAAGGTGCCGACTCGAGTATTTTCGAGAATATTTGAGATCGAGTCTAGGACTAAGTATAAAAGCGGCGATCGCGCGTTGGCGTCGTCAGTTGATGATTAGCGTTCGGAGCGATAAGTTACTACCTACTTACAAGCTCGCTAGCGAGAAACTGGTGTTCATTGTTTTACTGCCTGCTGTATTCTGTTGTCTCAGTTTTATACATTTCTTCCCTGTAGGTTCTAAATTTAGTCTCTTATACGCAGTAACGATTGTGCATTATTTAAACCCCACTATCCTGACTTGTAACATTATAAATAAAGAAGAATGGAACGTTGGCTTAAAGGTGTTAAACGTGTTCCAACAACATCTTCTAATGACGCTGAATGTTCAAAAGCAATGCGCGCGGAGAATTTAGCAATCACCGATCCAGAAGATGATGCCACGAGTGCCACGACGTCAAGCTCGACGGTTTCAAAGACGAAAAAAAGGAAGTATGATGAATCTTATATCAGTTTCGGATTTGTTGATTCCAACGGCTCACCTCTCTGCATGCTCTGTAGTAAACTGCTTCCTAATAGTTCCATGGCACCTGCCAAATTGCGTCGACATTTAGAAACCGTACACCCCGAGACTAAAGACAAGAATAAAGAATTTTTTGTTCGCAAAAAAGATCAGTTATTAGAAAGTCAAAAAAATATGATGCATGTAACACAAACTACCAACGAAAAGGCCACGGAGGCATCATACTTAGTTAGCTATCGCATTGCACAAGCAGGTGAAACGCACACTATCGCTGAGAAATTAATAAAACCATGTGTATTAGAAATAACAAAATGTATGCTTGATGAAAAATCTGCAAAGCATCTTTCTACTGTTCCGCTATCAAACGATACTGTTTCACGACGAATCCATGATCTGGCAAGCTACGTCAAACAAGAACTAGTTACACGTCTACAAAATACACGATTCGCTTTGCAAATGGACGAGTCGACTGATGTCGCTGGTTTGGCTATCCTGCTGGTTATTGTGAGATATCCATATAAAAGTTCTTTTGAAGAAGACATGCTTATGTGTTCATCGCTGCTTACAAACACTACCGGGGAAGAAATTTTTAATAAAATAAATATATTTTTTGAAGAACATAATCTCAGTTGGAACAATTGCATTGACATTTGTACAGATGGGGCCAAGGCGATGACAGGTAAAACAGCAGGAGCAGTGTCACGAATGAAAAATAAAGCGCCTAATTGTAGTTCCAGTCATTGTATTCTGCATAGACAAGCACTTGCGATGAAGCAAATGCCGTCTAATCTAAAATTAGTTATGGATGAAGCGGTAAAAATAATTAATTTTATCAAATCACGACCACTACAATCCCGATTGTTCTCATTATTGTGTGAAGATTATGGCAGCAAACATAAAACACTGCTGCTCCATACAGAAGTGCGATGGCTGTCTCGGGGAAAAACTTTAACAAGGCTATTTGAACTTAGAGCCGAGTTACAAATGTTTCTTTCAGCAGATACTTCTTTTAATTTGAAGGACCGTTTGTATGATAAAACTTGGTTGTTCCGATTGTCTTTTATGGCGGATATCTTTCAAAAACTTAACGAATTAAATTTATCATTGCAAGGTAAACAGACAACAGTGTTTCAGGCCTATAATAAAATAACTACTTTTAAAAGAAAATTAGATTTTTGGATCATTTGCATTGGTAAGAAAGAAATAGAAAGTTTTACGTTACTCACTGAGTTTGTTAGCGAAAACGACTCAGAAATGTTTGAAGATAATGTGTTTGAAGAATTGGTCCAATATCTCAGTTCGATGCGCGCATCTTTTGAAAAGTATTTTCCCGAAGAACACAATACAAAAATTAAAGTGAACTCCTGGATTCATAATCCTTTTTTACCCAACTTGGAAAAGCCTGAAAACATGTCAAATGAGATATATGAATCTCTTTTAGAAATGTCATCAGACACAAGTATGGAGTCATTGTTCAAAACGACGCCTCTTAATGATTTTTGGTGCAGAATCCAAGATGAATATGCAATGCTTGGCCAAATGGCTCTGGATATTCTTCTCCCGTTCCCAACTACATATTTGTGCGAAACAGGATTCTCTACCTACGCAGCCACGAAAACAAAATATCGCAATAGACTGGACGCCGAAGCTGATATGAGACTCCAACTTTCTTCCATCAAACCTGATATCAAGCAATTGATGAAAAATAAAAAACAGTTTCATACCTCCCACTAGTTAGATTTTTTCTTTTTTAATGTTTTCTATTATTGTCCTTACCAAGTGGTGAAGTAAATAATAATTAGTAACGGATACATTGTACTTTTATTATGCTGATTAATATAGAATACACTTATAAAAATAATTGTTTTATTGTAGGGTTCCATCAAGTATTTTGCTTCCCAAAAGGGTTCCGTCATTTAAAAAGTTTGAGAACCACTGGTCTAGGCTGTTACAAGCACTGGTGAATGTCGAAAAGCTACGCCATCGGTTCGCAAATCTACGGCGGGAGACCTTGTACTGATAAGAACCGGCAAGAAACTCAGCAAGGGCTGCTTTTTTCTCCCTGTTTTATTTCATACAGTGTCGTCCAATTGAAAGTTGACATCAAGCTTGCAAACATGTGTTGAGGTCAACTTCCATCACATAATGTCAAATATGTAACAATAGACAATCAACGAATTTACTAACAATAAGTGCAAAGATAAGTCCCAAAATAGCAAGAAACAATTTTCAAAACAAAATGAACAAGTATATGAAAGGGAGTAAGTGCAAGGTTCTCTTCAAAACTCTTTCTAAGGCTGGGAGCCTTAGTTTTAATATAACTTTTGAAAAATTATCTACAGGTAAAATTACAACCAGGCCGTTTTATCATTCAAATATTGATTGACAGTATAATATCCTTTCTTAAGTAAACAATTCTTAATGTGTATTTTAAATTTATGAGGAGGCAAATCAAGGATATCAATATGAATCTTATTATAGAAATGTATACCTTGACCCATAAATGATTTATGAACCTTCTGTAACCTGTAATTTGGTATCTTGAGTTTATTTTTATTCCTTGTATTAAAAGAATGTATGTCACTGTGTTTGAGATAATAGTTAATATTGCTTCGAACAAAAAGTATGCAATTATAAATGAATTGTGAAGCAACAGTCAAAATCCCGATTTCTTTAAATTTTTCTCTAAGAGATGTTCTAGAACTAAGTTGATAAATAGCCCTTATAGCTCTTTTTTGCAAGATAAATATAGTTTCAATATCGGCTGCTGATCCCCAGAGAATAATACCATAGGATACAATACTATGAAAGTAACTAAAGTATACAGTTCTAGCAGTAGCTACATCAGTAAGTTGTCTTATTTTACGTATGGCATAGGCTGCTGAACTAAGTTTACCAGCTAGCAGAGAAATATGAGGATACCATTGCAATTTCGAATCTATGGTTATACCTAAGAATATTGTTGATTCAACTAAATCTAGGTTTTCATTGTTTAATTTAATTCTAATGGTTTCGCTTCTAACATTAGGTAAAGTGAATTTAATGCATTTGGTTTTATTTGCATTTAATTTTAAGTTATTTACATTAAACCATTGCAATACTTGTGAGAGAGCATTATTTACATCGTCAAAGTTATTCTTGTATCGGTCAACCTTAAATAATAAAGAAGTATCATCAGCAAACAATACGATCTCACACAACAATTTTTCCACAAAAAATGGCAAATCGTTTATGTACAATAAAAATAGAAACGGACCTAAAATCGATCCCTGGGGAACGCCCATTTTCACATAAGATCCAGATGACTTAACACCATTTACCTCTACAGTTTGAACTCTGGAACTGAGATATGGATAGTAGCAAGTTTTGGGCTTTGGGCTAAATAAAAATATTCACAGTGTTTTATATCGAAAAATTTAGGGATGAGCTCAATTAAGCAGTAGTAAACGCATTCAGTCTGCAAATGCAAAGGACTAAGAAGATACTTTTGTAAGGAATTGTCCAATGATAATAAAAAAAACTATTGAAGAATGGTGAAGCCGGAAGAGCTTCTTTGTACTTCAGAGGATATGTTAACCAATGGATCCTGGCTGCTTTAGCAGTAGTAAGTATCATTATTTGTATAAGGAATATCATGTCAGGAGCAGAGGAGGCAAGCTCCAGCTATGAGGACAAAATGATGAAGATAATCATTGAAAATCCTTATTTTTAGACTGATGCATCTTTTAATTTTATATTAGCTGTTCTATCATTAAAATTTTATTGGGATATTATTATGTCTTCCATACAAAAACTTACCTCATTAATTGTCTTCTGTATTTTTGCTTTGCTCCAATCAGGTGATTCAATGACAAGGGAGTACATATCAAAGTTATATTTATCACTGTGTTCAGAACTGCTGGTACTCTTTGGCACTGTAAACATTCCTATGGTTATCAAGTTCTCACTGACAAAATCATTGCCATCATCTTCTGTTGCTCTAGGATATCGTAAGTTATCAACAAGTTGATTAGTGTCACTTTGCTCTAAAGTGTCTTCAACGATGCAGCCGCCCAATGCATATGGAACGTCTGGTTGGCTGAAAAAGAATTATATTAAGAATAAATGTTTGTTATATGGAAATAATTAATATAACAAATAGTTTTAGTATCAGAATCAGTATTGCTGAATGAATAATTATTTTCTCAGACTCTTACCAACTTGTCCTTCTAGCATTATTAATAGTATTTTCAGTTGGTATCAATTTTTTACAGGCAAACAGTAATAAAAACAGCATAAGCAGTTAACTTTAAACCTCAAATAAAGGGGCTATTTTCCAATAGTGTTCCCATGCAACAATATTTTATTTTTACAAAATTGATATTGTTTGTCTTTTCTGCCTTGCTTCCTTCTTAAAGGTCATGCGCACCTGACCCGGCACCCGACCAGCACCGCCTGGGTGCGCGCCATCCTCTCGTGAACACTGCGCTGTCACTCAGCTTAAGTCGGGTGGGCCGCCTACGGGTGAACGCTCCCCCACGACAACGGCTAACTAGAGCCGAGGTTCGAGTCTCAGAGACGCTCTCTAGTTGAGCAAAGGCTCCAGACGGAGAGGAGACTCCCCCCGCGGGGAGATGCCATCCACCTAGCATACCTCGCTGCTCGCGAGGAGGCACTCGCCAATTCTCGGCTTCAGGTCCCCTTAAGATCTCGCCATCCCCAAACCCGGTGACGCTGTAAAGGTCATCTGCGACCAACAGTAAACACACAAAAAAAACGGGTATACGCCGCGCCTCCGCCCCGCCCGCCGTACGAGCCAGCGAGATAGAGCGCGTAGGTACGACATGTTTCTTGTGTGAGAGCGAGGTGAGGCGATGACGGTACAGAGTTGGTGTAATAAGCGCATCCCCATATAAATCCATACAAAAAATGTTAACCGCGCGCGCCGAGGCGGTGCTAGTCACGTGCCAGGTGGTTCAGGTGCTCTATGACCTTAAGACTAAGTAACTAGTTGGACAACAAAACTACTATCATACAACAATTTTAGAGATGAAGAACTTACACTTCTTTAAAGTAATTTAAATAAGCACACTCCTCAATGAATGATTGAACAATAAACTTTTCTGTTACATAAACTAAAACACCTTTAAATATGCAGCCTTGTGCCAAATTAGATACAACATCATAAAAATCATTTTGCATATCAGTATTTGTCTTTATATTGATGATATGAAATTTAACATCTGGAATCATTGGTATGTAGACTCCACAAATTATTGGGAAGGTTCTTCTCAACATCCGCTGCTTGATTGCATGATCAGAAGTTTTAGATTGTTCTAGAGGGCGATATGACAAATAGCAGGCTCTAACTGTGAATATGCATTCTTTTGGAGCAGCCACTTTGTTTTGTAGATAATCCATCACTGAAAACACATCATTATCATACACTAAACATTCTACTTCATAAAACATCGATCAATCAATTATCTAGTGTAACATTTGAAGAAATTTGCTCACAACAAGATATCAAAACTTTTTATACTAGTTTAGCAAGTGGTAAAAAGTAACAAAAACTTTTTTTTTAATTAAATATAATTTATTGTCATTTAACAACATTATTTTTTCTATGTATAAATAGATTGCTTTAGGAGTTACAATTTCACCAATGTTGTGTAGTTCATCAAGATTGATTTCTGTAAAACTTTTAAAACTGATAACATTTTTACTCATGACAAAAATATGCAAAAAAGTAGAGATAACCCTTGGATCAGTCTCTTCAACATAATTATCATCCATTTTTCAATAGGGGTGATAACGGGATAAAGTAAATGAAATTCTATTTAGTCCATCAGTTAGATTATCAAAAAATAATGAACACATATTTTTTGTTTGGTCAATCAACCAAAAATTAATAAGGATAAAGGGCATCAAAGTTTGTTTTGGGAGTGGGAGCTCGTGAAAACACTTTCAAGTAAAAATTGTACCCATTTGGGTACAAGTTATGCTACCTTTCAAATAAATATATCTCTGAAATGTTTTGATTATGTGAATAAAGATAAAATATGTTTACAATACTTTTTGGTAATCTACCTGATAGAAGAAGAAAATAAGTTTGTTGTCATTCCTATTATGCTTTCAGTAACTTACTTTAAATCCATGGATATGCTGATTTATAATTTTTAATTGAAACTCAGAAAGATAAATACTTACAACAATGCTCTTTTTCACAAGGAGGATCGCATGGGCTGGGTACTAACGCCAAACATCTACTAGTAGAGCCAAAACCAGTGTCATTAACGAAGGAGAAAACAACTAAGGGTTCAGTATGAAGCTCACTAGACTGTTTCAACTTCACCCCATTCTTTATTTGACTTAAATGCAAATCTATCACAAAGTCAGCTGGACATAGTTGTTCCTTCTGGAGAGCTAAAACAGCCGAGTACCAAGTTCTACACACATGTTTACATAGTAATTTATCTTGCCAAGACAAGTTGCTCAAAATCCTTTTGACAATAACATAATTGTTCATAACATTGTCTTTTAAATGATTATCACAAGACACTTCTTCATAGTCTCGTAACAATTCACGCCTCTCAATGTAAGCAAGTATGTGTTCTGGAAGTGACAGTTTCTTGTAAGCAGCTGATGAATCGCTTGAACTACTCTCATTATCACAGTCATCGACATTCCCATCTTTGAATTCTGCATCTATTGTATTGTCCATATCTTATATTTCAGTTACAATTTGATCGTCATTGGCTCTTTGGAGCGGATCTCCTTTCAGGAGTGCTAAGATAAAGCAGTAAAGGTATATAAAGAAAAATACTAAGTAGTATCCAATGTTTATCATAACATCTCTCAGGTGTTTCTTCAGTTGCCCTCGATTGTGTATTTCAGCAGGGTCATAAGCACCAAGATTGCCACGAGGTATAGTCAAATACTCAAAAGTCAACCATACAAACATAGGCAGATTCAATAAAAAAAGTATAACTTGACCATGAAGTAACAACACAAATGTTACGAAAGCATGGGCAATGTATTTCGGAACAAGCCAATAATTAAGCTTCTCACAGCACTCCTGGGCATTTAAGTAATCACATTCTAAGTCCGAAAGAGTAATTATATAGTAAACTAGAAGAAATAAAATTGCACCGGTATCGATCAAAGACAGAGAGAACAACAAAGTTTCAGCCAATATCATAACTAACACTTTATAACTGCTTTGGTGAAAAGATGCTAGGTAATTGTTTTAATTTGATTAATGTTGAATAAGATAAAACTAGCTACCTAACCACAAAATTCACTAATTCTATTAAAAATTAAAATATTTGCAGCACTAAAGCATCACGCACGACAGAAGCAGATATTTGATTTTACATTTTTTTTTTTTTTTTTTTTTTAATAGTTTAACGGCCTTGGATGAAATCCATACAGCCAATTCTTCATTATTATGAGTTCATTTCATATTTATCTTTGTTATTCAAGGGTATCTTTTTTCTTTTACAAATGCATAAACGTAGCGGAAATGAAGTCATATAAAATTTTATATGTTTCAAAATTCTTGAGAATAGATGGCAAGAGGCGGGGAATGTCATCATCTTTAAATATCTTCAGTAGGCCATCTACTAAAATAATTCTTGATATGTTGAAGGCGGGACAATGTAAAATAAGGTGATCTAGTGTAGCTTCATCATTTTCGCAATATTGACAAGTTCCTGAAGATTTTAAGTTTAATCTGTGTAAGTGTGCACCGAATCTTCCGTGACCTAATCTGAGCCTGTTATTAGTAGTTATGAATCTTCTATTTGAAGATTGAAGACTGAAGTACCAGGGCTTTACTGGAATCTTTTCTTGGATACTTGCGTACCACTTTCCCTTGAATTGTTTGGTAAATTCTCTTGCAAATTTTTTTTTTTTTTTGTTGAAGTTCTCCCGTTTTAGGGAAGGCAAAGGGAACAATGCCCATACAGCCTAGTCTTTAATAAAATTAATCTTCTTTTTGTTTTTACACTAGAATGTCAGTGTGATGCATTCTAATGTTTCTTGGAGTGTTTGGCACGAAATGTATCGAGTTGGCTTTTTCGATAAGCTTCTGTGAGGTAGTCAACACTACAATAAAATTCTCACGTCCACTTGACCGGAATAGCGTATATTTTAACGATTCCACTAATTCTTCAGTTACGCAGACGGTTGTTACACAAAACCACACCAATTTTATTTCACAATATCCACTATGAACGAATTTAAGAATAATTAAAATAAGACGCCAAGCGCACTCGATGAAATCCCGCCAAAAACTCCTCTCTTGCTAATTACACAATTTGATTTGACATTATTATTTTTCTTTTTTTTTGTTGAAGTTCTCCCGTTTTAGGGAATGCAAAGGGAACAATGCCCATACAGCCTGGTCTTTAATTAAATTTCTTTTTGTTTTTTTTACATTAGAATGTCGGTGTGACACATTCTAATGTTTCTTGGAGTGTTTGGCACGAAATGTATCGAGTGGGCTTTTTCGATAAGCTTCTGTGAGGTAGTCAACACTACAATAAAATTCTCACGTCCACTTGACCGGAATAGCGTATATTTTGACGATTTAATTCTTCAGTTACGCAGACAGTTGTTACACAAAACCACGCCAATTTTATTTCACAGTATCCACTATGAACGAATTTAAGAATAATTAAAATAAAACGCCAACCACACTCCACCCCAAAAAATCCAAATCCCGCCAAAAAACCTTATTATTTTCTTTATTGGGAAAGACAAGGGCAAGGTAATGCAGCCATCGTTAATTTTTTTTATTAATTTTCTTTTTATTCCTTAGAATGTGGGTGTAATTCTGATGTTGTAGATTCATTCTAATGTTTCTTGGAGTAAACGGTTCAGCATATATCTAGTCAGCTTTCTGGTTATGCTTCTGTAAGTTAGTCCGCACTACAATAAAGTTCTCACATCCACTGACCAGAATAGCGTATAATTTAAAGATTCCACTACTTATATCTACATTTAAAGTCAAATTAACATTTGGAGTTGGTGTTGGTGCCATGCATATTGATAGATCTGAGTTGCCATTTACTGGTGTCGATTCTGGCATGATTCTCTAAACTTAAAATTAAATTAAAATCAGTCTCTCCTTTTCATTCTGTATAGAGAATGACAAGGATACATTGGTGTCAATTCTGACACGATTCTCTAAACCTAAACTTAAATTTGACAACAGTGTATCCTTGTCATTCTCTATACGGAATGAAAAGGAGAGATTGATGTTAAATTTAGTTTTAAGTTTAGAGAATCCCGCCAGAATCGATACCATTGATGTCGATTCTGGCATGATTCTCTAAAGCTAAACTTAAATTTGACAACAGTGGTGTCGATTCTAGCATGATTCTCTAAACCTAAACTTAAATTTGACAGCAGTATATCCTTGTTATTCTCTATACAGAATGAAAAGGAGAGACTGATGTTAAATTTAGTTTTAAGTTTAGAGAATCACGTCAGAATTGGCACCAGTGCATCTCTGTCATTCTCTATCAAAATGAAAAGGAGAGACTGATGTTAAATTTAGTTTTAAGTTTAGAGAATAACGCCAGAATCGATACACTGACGTCAAATTTAAGTTTAGGTTTAGAGAATCAAGCCAGAATCGATACCACTGCTTGGGTTGGCATGGCACCAACTTCAAAATATGTTCATTTGACTTAAAATGTAGATATAAAATGAATACAAGTAAAGAGTACGCATTATTTATTACTTTTTAGTTTTGTTTTTATTAAATCAGTTTTATTTTTTTTGTTAAAAATATTTTATTTTTCATTGTTTATAAACCAGAGCACTTAAGCCCGTATTAATAAGTAAAGATTCTCAGTGATTGATCTAGTATTGAGCATAGTTAGAAAGGGATGTGGCTATATATAGCACATAGCGATATCCCTTTCTACAGTTTGTCTATAAAGTCGTGATATTAAATGATGGCGCCACTAGTATGCATGTAGCAACCCTATACAGTCGGACTAAAATGATTTTGATACTAGCAGTTCATTCAAGTAAAATAGGTAATTAATAAGACACTATACAGTCGTATTTTGTTTCTGTTTTATATATAGTAGGTACCTATGCTTATAAAAAGTTTAACCAAGCATATTTAATTGAATCAGAATAAAATTATTATAAATAAAATAGTACTTTATAGTGTAAAAGTGTGTAATGATGGTGATTACCGCTGAGGTGCCATTGTGACCAGAGCCGTTAGGTAATCATCAATACACACAAGTATCATCATACGACGTTTTTTAACACACTTGTTAAGAAAATAATACTAAAAATCATTTTATAGTATATAAAAAGTGTATTTAGAGAAACAATTTGTAAATGTGCAATTACTAAAATTAGTGATAGGTATCTTCACTAAAAGCCATGGTTCTTTATGTGACCATTTCTTTCTTTGGTCGGCCTTGCCTGTATTCCCAGGAGTTTCACTTAACTTTTTAACTTTCCATCATTCTTAAAACCTTCGTTGACTATCCGACTCTCTGATTTTCCTAAAAAAATATGTAACGGAATAGAAACAATAACTTATTGACATGAAGCAATTCATTCAAAATTGGTAGAAAACCTGACCGAGTTGAACCATAATAACGTATGAAAAGAAATAGTCGTACTACAATATTACCCATTTACAATGTCAATCTAACCTAAAAATGTGCAATGTAAACAATGCATTTTTGGTTTCAAAATCGTAAATTGAGTAAAGGAGATTGCGCAGTTTCCATACATGTTTGGCCTAAAGACCAAAAATCATGAAAAATTGTTTCCTAGATTCGAAATTATATAAATTACTGTAGAAACAAATATTATTGACGGACACCCCTGAGAACTTCTATAAAACAAATACACTGAACATATTAAAATAAAAAAATGGGTGCGTGTACTTATGTAGGCGCGTGAGAAGTTATCCTTCTTTGGCATCGTTTAAAATTAGTTTTTAATTGCATGCAAATAATTAATTACAATAAATTAATAAAAAGTCTGGAAAAGGACACAGTCAATAAAGTTCAATTTTAATTTGACAAAATAAATAAATAATCAAAATATTCAATTAAAATCGCTACTGAATATAATTTATTAGAACATATGTGATTTGCACTTGTATGAAACTCAAACAAGTATTCCGAATATACAAACTAGAAACATGTGGATAAATATAATAAATATGAATACCTATAACTGTTACTTTATTACAAAAAATAAAGATGTGGTTTTTGGTTCTACTACACCAATGTTCAAGAGATGGCGCTGTAGTCTCCTGAATCGCGCTTTGGTTCCGTTGTTCCAGATTATTAAATACTTTTGATATTATAAATATGAATACCTATAACTGTTACTTTATTACAAAAAATAAAGATGTGGTTTTTGGTTCTACTACACCAATGGTCAAGAGATGGCGCTGTAGTCTCCTGAATCGCGCTTTGGTTCCGTTGTTCCAGATTAATAAATACTTTTGATAGGCCTTCACAATGCAGTCGTTAGCACCCACTAAATAGAGATTCTATTTCTATTTTGTTGGTAGATTTTCTTAATGTGCGGTAAACACAAAATTTTGTGTTACAGTGATGCGCGCGCATCTTAAAATTTCACTCTCATCATTTTTTCATAACGCCCCTAAAGAAGTATAACTTCAATAAAAAAACAAATAAGTTATATAGTAAACTAAGGAAATCAAGCCAAGTACGGAAATTATGGATTAAATTCAGGTTTATAGAGCATGTAGATTAACAGATAGTTGCCTGTTTTTAAAGTAAATGCATAAGAGTAACTTTTAAAATCAGGTGTCATTTCCGGTTGTAATAAGGTACTCTGTGACAAAAACTGTGTGATGATTTTGAATGAGCCACAGATTACAGAGAATTTTTAAACTCTCGTTAACCAAAGAAAACTAAGAGATTTATCAGCAAGTTTCTTTATCAATCAATAAATATTATAATAATCAAAAATAATGTGCACTATACTTAAACCTTTACAGTAATCACACGATTGGTAATACTCAATTATAACCCCGTATTCCGTTTTCACTCTTCGACTGCTCCGCAAGAAGTGGCCCGAGTGCCGAGCCGACAGTCACCTGTCACCGTTGGAAAAATACGTGTTGGAGGGAAAATCGCGCGCCAAGTCCTCTAGCGCCAATGTGACAGCTGTCGGATGTGACGTCAATGTCAAATACCGATATTTTATTGCTGGCGATAACAAACTTAAGACTCCCGGGATAGAATTTGATGCGCTTTGGCACAGATGATCATGACTGTAATACCTTTCAAACAAATGTAGTTTAAGCCGTGGCGGACGTGGGTGCAGCGTCCATACATTTTTGCCCAATGTCCTTTTGCTCGACACTCAGTGATACAAAATGAAAAGAAATCCTTCCTCGGCTGGGAATCGAACACCGGCTACCCGAATACGTAGAGAAAATCACCCAATCATTGGCACTCTTCCAACTATTGGCACTTTTGAATTTAGTTCGAAAAAACAAGGAAACAGTAGATTATTCAAGCTGGGTACATATAAATATAAACCTAGGTCAGCCCACACTTAAGATTTGCCGGACCGGTTATTTATATCATAGAAAGTGTTGAGAAAGTTCACTTATTGGTAAGTGATGGCTCACCGTTGTAACGTTGTGCGTTATTAAAATCCATATTAAACAATTAATATAAATTAAATAGAAATGATAACCTAAATTTTAATTAATAAAAACGTAAAACTCCGTCAAATACTTAATATTAATTTTATATCTTAATCTCAAAGCTTTAAATATATAAAATAGGAAAGCCTCTCGGCTGGTGTTATTCAAGTTCAAATGCTTAGGGCGCTTTTAATTTATGCGTTTCTTGACGGCCTGCTGCGGTGCGTTTGTCCTACAGCGCGGCAGCGTACGGACGATCCTTTTGTTTCATACAAAAAGCGCGGTGCGGCAACAGTGCGGCGCCGTTACCGCGAACGCTCGACAACAGGACTGTTGCCGCACCGCGCGTTTTGTGTGAAAAAAAAGGATCGTCCGTACGTTGTACATCAAACGCACCGCTTCGGCACCGCAGCAGGCCGTCAAGAAACGCATAAATTGAAAGCGCCCTTAAACTACCCAAGCTCTTCGATCTTGATAAGATCTGTTTTTTTTAATAATTATTAAAAATGTAAAGCGACATGCTCTTATGAAAAATAAAACCCCGGCCAAGTGCGAGTCGGACTCGCGCACGGAGGGTTCAGTACAAACCCGAATTTTCAAAAACAAGTTATATTATGCGATGTTACTAAAAAATTACGGTTTTCGCAATTTTTCCTTTATCTGTACCATAAGACGTTACTACCAAATTTCAAGATTCTAAGTTCACGGGAAGTATCCTGTAGTAGTTTTGATTCCCGTGCGAGTATCAAAAAATTTGCTGAAATAAACGTCTGTATCTTTTGATTGCTTTGGCTTAGAAGTTTGATTTTTTCACAGCTCCAGGGGACAGTACACCTGACCTGACCTGAGTATTAGATATAAATTTTTGATAACTCCACGCGTTCCTGAAAAAAACGGACTTGACAGACGGACAACAAAGTGATCCTATAAGGGTTCCGATTTTTCCTTTTGAGGTACCGAACCCTAAAAATTGTGGAGATGTAATAAAAGTTTCACTTTAATTAATCAAGAGTTTTTACGTGAAAGCAAACAATATTTTGTGTCAAAAAATTTATTTAACATTCTTTTCTTAAGCTAGTAAAGGCTTGGTAAATATTTACAAGGCTTCATTACAGGGCAAGGTAAAAAACTATCCAATTACTCTAGATCCGATTCCTGTGATTATCACATCATAATTTAATTATTTCCATTAAATAGTTGGCTTGGCTTTGATATATTCTGGCTTTAGCCATATTGCTTACCTGACTATTAGTAACTCGTCGATACGTCTCTAAAGCAGTGGTTACATATGAATAAAGATGTGGTTAATAACAATACCAAGATAACGAAGCCAATTAATAGGTTGTTATGCTATAATATGCAGAGAGCAAAAGTTTATCAATTATAAAAAACAGCTTTCTCATTTCGGATCAGAATATATACCCTACTATAAAACAAATATTAAAAACTCTCCTAAAATAATTACAACAATGATAACAAATATGCAGATAGTATGTATGCTATATCAAAACATTAATCTCACTTAGTATTTTGTTAAATACATTTAGACTATATTCTCAAAGAAAAGCTACAATAACACTAGGCCAGTTACGATAAAGGAGTTGCAAGGTAAGGTACTACAAATATACTTTGTTAATCTTATTTCCGATAATATCAAAATTATTTTGATGCCATTGATGCTTACTGTAAGCAAATCTTGAGTGATCATAATATCTAAGCGAAACTCCCATAACATATAAAACATTGTCCACAAGTAGATAAAATTGTCTAAATGGTACAAATTTCGTTAAATGAGCAAATAGATTTTTATATTATCATATAATTTGATTAATATCTAGTTATAAATCAGGGATTTATTTTAAATTCACTTAGATAATGGAATACAACTTAATGTTTACTTAATGTATCAAACATGACAAATTATTTTGTAATTCCAGCAATGTTAAGTACTCTCATAAAATAATAAAATATAATCTAGATTTTTTTAATTTGCCCGTTTAAAAAGATCTGATGTTACAGATAACTTTAATAATTGTATTTGGGCCAATTGATTATTTAATTTACACTCTGTGGCGTTAACACACTTTTCCTATTTTTAAACAACATCTTAGTTAATTAAATAGCACCATTCCACACATGATAGTACTACAAAATTAATAAATTTTGAAGTACAAGCATGTATCTAACCACCGACACATTCGATACACTCAAACCACAAATAAATACTATGCTGAAAACCTTATCCTAAGAATGGGTTCAATAAATTATATGGAAAAACTTTTGATGCCACACAATATTTTATATGTGAATTGGCACTCAAGGGCAGTAAACCTCATTCGTTGTCCGTTTAATCATAATGTAATATAAATGCAATTAATGGCAATATGTTATCGATTCACGAATTCCGCATTTTAAAAATCTAACTTCTGTGAAAATGGCAAACGAAATATAAATTAGTGGAACAATACTCATACAAATAAAATTAAAGAACGCCTAACAGAGACAAACTGTGGGTATGCTATTTAAGTTGCAAATAAATATTATAAATAAATAACAAACAATTATGCAAGCACACTTACCTGATATAGTAAATTGGTAACTCGAGTAACACAACCAAATAATTTAATTACTTAATTATAACTTTGCACCTAATCTACATTTTAGACAATACACTGGAATGATGCATTTTCAAGAATGTCATTAATTTATTTTAAGTAAGTGAAAACAATTTGGTAAAACTTCCTGACAAATACTAATACAATTGTGAGTAAAGTTTTGCTTCAGGAACAGTGTGGACTAAGAGGAACAACAAGCAAAGAATGTTGACTCTATTTCTGATTGAATATGCACTCTATTACAGAGTAAATATATTCGAAACTTGTTTGGAGTACCTGCAAGCAGTCCGTCACGATTCTTTTCCGATATTGTGTTTTAAGATACAGTCGTAGATTGTATTTTCAACTATTATACTCCACTCTGTGCATACTTGGAAGTGCGTTCGCATAATTGTTTGTAAGCTAGGAGCCGGCTCCTTGTTTACCTAAATGAAATCTAACATTGTTCCCAAGCTGGTCCCACCCATGACGATGGCTTGTGAATGCGCGTCTCACCTCTCTCCATGTAACAAAAGGTAACCATGAATCAATAAATCAACATAACATAAAGCAATCTATGGAGAGATGAGTGCTCCTGTGCCACAAATTGCGCTTCAACAAGACTGGAATGTCACTTCTTGATTTGGGAAATGGTTATCCGTTCCGATAGAACAAAGCGGATTTCAATTATTGACACAAAATCAATCTTTATACAATTTAACAATAATAATCTACGTAGGCAGGTGTGTCGCAGATTGATCGTTTGCGTCCCAATAAAACAACTCTTATTATAATTTTTCCCTAAAGTTTAGTCATCGGGCGGAATGCAGAAATCCACAACTATGTTGAGTATTTTTACTTTCAATATATACATAAGTAGATACCTATAAATAGAAAATAAAATGGATTTTATTACATGTGAGCTAAGTGCGTCGCAGCGCACGCGGTGGTTACGTGCGCTTATACTCACCGAGAATATGGTTATTCATTAATCTATTTATCAACTAGCGGCACAAAAATTTCAAAATATCTATTAAGTACCAAGAGTAATAAGTCCGTCAATAACGATAACACTATGTGTTTATAGTATTTAATATACTTTAAAATCTGTCCTTACTGACGTAAGTCACCAACCTGGAAGAACGAGTCACTGAAGAGACTAGCGTTACACTCGAACCGGTACCGGTCGATTTAATTTATATATTTTTCTAAACTTTTGCACCAAAACGAATCACATCACTCGCACATTTGCTTTAAAACATTTGCACGTATACCGTTAAAAACTGAGAGCAGTTAGCCCTGTTACTGCCTGAATTGGTGATGAAAGAGATCATAGTTTGAGCATCGACGAGCGGTACTCTTGGAGAAAGGCGGGCGAGGGTCAGGTGGCGTCGTATTCTATTTTGTCCCACGAATAATGTTTACGGGCCGGTCGTGGCGGAGGCCGGGCGAACACTCCCCCTAGAAGTGGATCACACTGGGGCACATGACCGCGACCGAACACGTTAGGAATTATTTCCGTGTCCATGTCATAGCCAGAGTAGTCGTATACGTCGTTGTCTACGTTCATGTTGGTGGGCGGGTCGATGCCGAACTCTTTTAGGTCTATTTCACACGACCGATCGTCGAAGGACCCGTGCCTGGTATCGTCAGTCTGGAAGGACGGCAATGATAGATCGTCCATGTATTCGAAACCGGTTCGCGTGTGATCGAGTAAATCTCCGTTCGTCAACGGGGTCATGCTCATCCTTTCTTGTACATCGTCGCTGACATCCATGACAGTCGGTTGCGATCTTTCGTCGACATGCCGACTCTCCCCTGACAGCAGGCTACCGAAGAAGTCGTCGTGATCGGCGGACGTAGGGTCGGAGCCGCCGAATTCGGTAGGAAAGTCACTGTTGGAAAGGAGGTCGACGCTCAGTTCGGCGTCGATGTCGGTGGACGTCGGATCGACATCACACGAATTGACAACACCGTTGACCGCCTGCAGATCCGCGTGGCTCATGATCTCGTTCTGTATATCGTCCAGTTCCCTCTGCAGCTCGTCCGCCGCCAAAGAATCGCGCACGTGCGGGTCGCACAAGACATCATCGTTGAGCACGTCAGCAGGGGAGAACGCGTCCACCGAGGACGCCACGAAACTGCCGTTTAACGATTCGCTCGCGGACGGGTCCACCACTGCCGACGGGGGCAGCTCGCCGTTCTCCACAAGAATCTCCAGGACGTCATCCATGATGCGGCTGTCTTCGGCGTGGTCGCGGAGCGCCGTCAGGTGGACCTGCGCGACGGGCATCGGCGGCGGCGGCGGCGGGGGCGGCGGAGGGGGCGGCGGGGCGGCGCGCTCCGGCTCGTAGTGCGGCGACGGCAGGATCGCAATAGGCACCACCTTGACGCCGTTGAGGATATAGGCGGGGTTGGTGGCTTTCTGCGGCGAGACGTCCTGCGCGTCGGCGGCGGGCGCGGGCGAGGGCGCGACGGCGTACACGCGCACGAGGCGATCGGGCGCGGCGTCGATGACGTACCGCGAGGCGGGCGGCGCAGGCGCGGGCGGCTGCTGCAGCGCGTCGAGCTGCGCGCGCAGCTGCGACACGCAGATGTGCGCCTGCAGCAGGCGGCGGCTCTGGTCACTGGCGGCCGCGCCCGCCGCCTCGCGCCGCACCGCCTCCAGCTGCTGCCGCGACGCCTCCAGCTTGCGCTCCAGCTCCTCGATCTGCCGCCGCTGCGACTGCACGATGTCCTCCGCGCCGCATTCCTGCTCCGCGCGGGGATCGGGCGACGTCAGCGACGCGAACGACGCCACCGACGCCGGCGACCGCGGCCCCTCCTCCTGCTTCTCCATGAGGAACGGCCTCAGTCGGTCGATCAGCTGCGGCTTTGGCCCGGACACGCGGAGGTTCCGTCTTTTGCACTCGGCGCGGAGGTCGGAGACCTTCATGTCTTCGAAGCGAGCGGCGACCGAGAGGGGTAGGATAGGGACGGGCGGAGGCGGCGGCGGGGGCGGCGCGTACGCGTCCGAGGTGTCGGAGGCGATGGAGGCCGCGGAGGAGGGCGCCGGCGACGCGGGCATCAGCTGCAGGAGTAACTGCTGCTGTTGTAATAGTAACTCGTAGGGAGTCTCCACTGATCCCGGGGGCGACGAAGCTTTCTGTGCGTTCGGTGGTCCCTTGTACTCGTGGAATTTGAACCGCGCTTTGGGCTGTTGCTTTTGCTTACTCTTTTTGCGGTTCTTGTCCTTTCCCGGGGCCGGGTGTTGAGGGGGGGATGCGACACTGACCGGCGAAAGGGTCGAAGGTGGGGAAGGTGAAGGTGAAACTTCCTCTGGTGGGCCACAGTACGAGGATGGATGCTGTGGTCGACCAGAAGCGCCTTCGCTGGTGGCCTTGAACGCTAGGACTCCGCTCTTAACAGCTGTTTCGATGTTCTCTTCTGTGTGCAATATATTCTTTTTGATAAGTTCGAGGGGACCAGGACGGTGTGATAACTGGTCGTTAAGTTGATCAGCCAGCCGTGCCTTCTTTAGCATACGCTGCTTTTCTGCAAGGCTTGGGTCTACGTGGCTTTCCTGTTAAAGAAATAGCGACATTATAAGCTTTATTGAACATTCGAACAAAGAATATAAAATATTTTAATTGATAACGAATCTGATAGATTTACCTGTTCTAATATATGTCTTCGTTCCAGTTCTTGACGATCTGGTCGTCTTTGTATTTTTGCCTTTAGTAAATCTCCAGTTTTCGCTCTTTCCAGTTGTTTGCATTGTTCAAAGTACGCAGGAGGTGTTTTTAGTGCTGCAAAAAACAAAAAATAACAATAAGCCCAACAATTGCTTTTTCAGATTAACGATCTTCTTAAACAATGAGCATATTGGGTCAAGTGTCAATATCTACCACCGAGATACGGTTCCATGTAAAATAAGTACTTTTCTGTGTATCTTTGTGGTCATGGGTACCATAGTTTACTTATGCTCATTTCCATAACATAAGATGACTGATCAAGACTTGCAGCAATTGCGCTGATTTTTAAATTGAAATTCTGCGCCGTGGCCGTGTTATGCCATTTTTTATTTAGTCGACACACTCCTCTTATAATGGTTTAACCAATGATACATATTGCGTTGCTTTTTATGTGTTCCTAGGATTTGTTTCCATAGTACAGCTGCTGTAATAATGCGTTCGTGGCAGGTCGTTTCAGCTCACAAAGTTAACAGAAAAGGAATTTACTTTCGACGTATTAATCCGTAAATAAATTCTATTCCGTCAACATAGAATGATATGACCTGCCACGAGAGCATTCTTTCTGCGATCGGACTTTAACACTACCACAGAACACTTAAATGTTATTGGTTGCTCTTATAGCTAAATCTCAGACCAAATAAAAAGTAAAGTCGGAGTCTGCCGAACAAAAAAGTGGAGCCGATAAAACTACGCCTCGCCGTGTACATACACAGTTACACGCACACCCATGCAACGAAACTACGCCTTGGCTTCCCAGCCGAGCTATCCCGGCGCGCGGAGTGTGACGTAATAATAAATAACAATATTTATTAGAGAAAATGCCGAATTGTGTAGTGAAAACGTGTAGAAACCAATCTTCCAAGAATAAAAAACAGGATGGAATCACATTTCATACGTAAGTAAAGTTATAAACTAATATTTTCAATTAATCAAAATCAAATTTGAGGTTGTCGCTTTGTAAACAAAACCTGAACGAAATGCTGCCATGATTATACGTTACAGTTTTACCCTTTTGTTGGGTAACGTGAAATATAACGTAACGTTATTTTATTAAATACATTGTGTAGCATACTTTTATATTATTCGAATATTGTAATGCATGGATAAACAATTACACGAAACATCTTTATTATCTTTTTTCTTTATGTATTCGTATAAATTTTTTGGGATGTAATATACTTTATATATTATAAGTTTTTTTTACGATTTCCTAATCGAGATTAAAATCTAAAAGAGAAGTGGATTGCTGTCATTCGTAAGAGTAGAAATGAACCATTGTGGTAACCAGCTTCCCGCAGCGTTGTTTGTTCGACTCATTTTCAGAGCGACGATTTGTACTACACAACAAAAGGGTTACGTCGTGCAAAACAAAATGCATGTCCAAAGGTATTTTTTTTACTTAACTTAATATGGTTACTTAAGTTAATTTATATTTTAAAGATTCCAATAATTCTTCAGTCGTGCAGACGGTTGAAACACAAAATTAAACCAATTTTATTTTACAATATTCACTATGAACGAATTAAAGAATAATTAAAATATGACGCTAACCGCACTCCATGAAATCCCGCCAAAAACTCCAAAGGTTAAGCTTTGTTTTTATTATATATTTTTTAACTAAACTTTTATTAGTGTAACAGTTATTAAACTTATAAATCACAGGAATCTCCAAGCGCATGAGCTTTGGCTCACGAGAGGTTGCATCTAGCGCTAGTTTAAAACTAATCTGGACTAGTTTATAGAATAAGCCTACGATATTTTTGTCTAATATTTTATAGCGTTATTCATAACGTTATGAAATAACGTTATTACATTTTTCTAATATTGGGGTATTATAAATGACTATGGTAACACTGGCTAATGTACTACATGCATAAAAAACCGGCTTCACTTTTTTGTTCGGCAGACTCCGTCTTACCTTTTTATTTGGTCTGAGAGCTAAATATGTATCTTGATCTGTATAATAGGATAGCGATAAGCGATTCTGTATAATAAAATCTCACTTCCGATTTCGATTGATGCATTACGCCATTACACGGCAAAATGTCGCTATGCTTTTAAAAGCAGACAGTATTAGGTATTTGGCATTTGCTAGAAATCCATATGAGATCGTAAGTGAGATTGCATCTTACAGAATACCTTTCTGTGCTGATCAACTCCTGTGCTTTCCAATACATTTTTAAGTAATGAAAAATCACATCAAAGACACTCAATTCTATTTGTCAAACCGACACTTCACTTGCCTATTTGTGTCTGCTTTATTTTAAACTTGACATCAGTCTGTCCTTTTCATTTCTTATAAAGCATGATAAGGACAAGCTGTTGTCAAGTTTACGAATAGCAAATTCGAATAGCCGGCATCATATTGTATACTGTTCGCCTTTCAAATCGCAATTATCACATCACCAGAAAAAGGGACCTACTAACTAACACAATTGCTTTTTCATTCGTGACCGCGAGACGTAAATATGTGATAGACTATTAATATCCTGTCATCGTGTTCTTAATAGAATCTGGAGAAAACGAGTAGCCGTTGTCTACCCACCCGATTTCACCTTCCAATTATTTTAGATATTAAACAAGATGCAGACCATTAATAACGAATATTATTGGCAACAATTATTATTAATACGCGCTGCGCCAACTACACAGTTTATTTATCTTTCAAGGATTCGTAACATGATCGTAAAAAAATATTCTTTTTCATGACTCCAGTTACAATTTCTCATTAGCCGTTTTGATCGTAAATAAAATCTCTCCCACGCGCGAGTCGTTCGCTCGCGGGCGTCTTGGTATCCGCGCGGGCGTCGCGATACCACCCGGCACACATTAATTGCTGTACATCAGTTTCAAATCTCTAATTACAAGCAAATTAGTAACTTTATTTCTAACACTTACGCGGCATGATTCCTTGGGCCACCAGCTGCGTGATGGGACGCCTCATCATCAGCTTCACTTTCAACGCTGCGAAACAAAACAACAATGATAACAAACCGTGTTTATGACCGCTACTGAACTGAGACATGGTTATGTATTTATGTGCACGAGAATCACCGTCGTTTTCCTTAGCACTATCATTTTCCCGGTGAACATAACAAATAGGTACCATTACGTTGTCATCGTTCAACTTACAAGTAAGTACGGCGCAGTGAGCGTTTAAACATTCAAATGACATCGTTTATAGACTGCCTTTTTCATACAACAATGAACACTGATTGAATAGCTATAGTGCGGTAGTGAAAACTACGGTGTTATGACGCCAGGTAGGTGACGAGCTTTGACGTAGCATAACGAGTTGGGCGAAGGTTGGCGTGATCGATGCTTCTATCGAAGTAAAACGCCGATCGATGCGATTACAGTGATCCAGGGGTAGCGCGTGGGCGCGTAGATGTATACTCTTGTTTGCTTGTAGACAAGCGGGAGCGGCGGCGGCGGCGGGCGGACAACGCTGCTGGCGGCAAGCCAACATAAATAAACACTACACAAGGAAACTAGTGTTATGCCGCGACCGTAATACAGACGAAACATGCACTACCACTAGGCCGAACATTATGGGTTACTGGGCGTTATCCACTCGTTAAAGTTTCGCACATACGTACCTAGCTATGTGTTGCGAATCTAAAACGCATACCTACAATATATTTACCGAACAAGCATTATTTTTGTCTAAATCAAAAATGTGTGTCGTGATGTAAACGATGTTATTGTTGTCTGGATTCCTCATTAATGACGTACATAGAGATCAGCATGAAAGCCAAGAATGTGGATAGCCAGATTTTACGCCATCTATTTAAACTAATTACAGAGTCAGCTCTACAGATTTTCATTAAATATCTTGCACGGGTTTCGTAAATGCTAATATTAAATTGTTGTATCTACCATATCATCATAAACCGGTAAACCGCAAAAATGCACTTTGCTATTACATGTTACATGATAGATTTCAATATGAATTCGCATATAAATCGTAAACAAATATCAAGTGGTGTAAGTAGGTGATAGTAAGGCTGGTGGATAGATGTGTGAAACAAGTGCTGACAAGGCTGTTGAGCAAGCAATTTCGTGAGTCGGTTAAAAAGCATTCGATGCATATAGCTGAATCTAGATATCTCAATGTTAAATAAGTACAGATACATAAGTAATGTAAATTATTAATGTTGGAAAACTATTTTCTCTTTTTTATTGCACCGCCTTTTAAGCTCTCCATTACAACCCTCTGGTTGACCGCCTATGGTATTAAGGCCGTCGTTAATGTGTCGTCAGTTGTTTGTTTCATCGGCTGTAGTTTATTGGTGATGCGATTTGCGCGTCGGCGCCGCCGCCGCCGCCGGATGTTCAAACATCGCGAGAATCGTAATGCCTCACGCACCGCACGCCAGACGAGAGACTATGTCACCTAAGGCCACTGGCCGTCTCACGTTCATTCACAAAACAACATTGAAATCAAATTAGTAGGGCTTAACTGAATAATAGGCCATTTGACAATATGAAAATATAGTACCAATTGTTGGCATCTGTATTTGATAGAATATTAGTAGCAATTTATCTATTCTGAGAAAACATAATAAATAACTTTTCTAAAGGTTTTTATATTTATTCTATGGTCACGTGACCGATAACGCCTGGAACACGCCGAGCCTAAAATGACGTCACCGGCTGTAAACATGCTGTGACGAAGTAACATTACTATGTACTGTTTGACGTTTTAAGGAGAGCCGTGTGAGGTCACCTGCCTGCAAACACGCCATATTTTCTAGAGAAATGTTTCCGCGACATTTTTAAAACAGTTTTTTTTTATTTTTATATTTTACTGATATACGCAAAAGAATTATAAGTATCCACTTTTTATTGAGTCACTATACACCAATAAATAACGATTGAACGTTTTCAAAATCTTGTCAAATAGCCCATTGGAAACTTCACACGCTCGGCCTTGCTGCTTATTTTATATGAAACATGTTTATTCGGTGGCAAAAGTGAAAACGTTCGAAACTACTTGATTTCTCAAAGAGATAATTCATATTTTTCATTTATGAAACCAGTTTATTATTTGAAATGCTTTCACAGAATTCTTGCTTCATGAGTTTTGTTGTTTTAGTGCCTGCTAGGTATCTTGCTTTACACCGGCGCGCGCGCAGAATATTGGATAAGATGGTTTATTACATTATTTCTTCCCAGAGACGAGCCTGTCCTCCTTTCTAATTTAACTATTTAATTTATGTAGGACGTTAGGACGAAACAAAAATATCATTGACTAATACACTCGACTTGACTCAGTTTAGTGTATTCACATTATATCATATTAATCATAAATTAAATGAAAGATTTACACTGCCACCGAAAACATCACATGAATATTATAGACAGACATCGCATCAAAGTATCTAATATTAAAATTTTATCATGTCTCATGTCATTATTTAATATATTTATTACAAGTATAAAATTGGCTCAAAATAATCATATCGGTAGAATAAATTTTGATGTTTCATGTTGTCTACTTAGAGTATTGACACACTATGCATTTATTCAGGTCAAAGTTATTTCATTTTTCATTCAAAATAATAAAAGGCAAGTAAAACTATAGAGCTGAAGATAATAATAAAACCCACGACGATTTGAGTAATTAACTAATAAATTGAAAATATCAATCAAGGGAAATGAAAATCTAAAATACTGTATTTGTTTCTTAGGTTTTCACGAACATCACTCATTAAATTAAACTAGTTTTTTACGGCTTAATGCACGAAACTTTATTTATTTACTGACGTTACGCAGCCTTTAAAAAAATACTGATTTGACAAAAGGTTGTGTCCATTCAAAAATGGACTGTTCTCGGCCTAACTTTAAAGTAAAACTAACTAGCGAGCAATATTAGTTCGTTATAGTTCGTATAGGTGCGGTGCACCACCGATTTCTCTTTATCTCGAGAATGTTTCAATTTGTAGGCACACATTTAGCTAACAAATGAATGTTTCAAATAATAAAGCTGTTCTCCTTGCGCGCCAGTCCCCGGTGCTCGTCACAGATTTTATTTATCACACCCTTCTGAATATATTAGGTCGCTAACCAAGGCCGGATTTAAGGCAGGCAGACGGGGCTGTCGTCCAGGTGCGCAAGAGGGGCCCACAACAGAGATGTAGATGTACCACAAGTGTTAATCATAAGTGACCCGGCTCAGGCGCCTAAAAGCCTCTACCCCTTAGTTGCCCCAGGGCAACTACACATACCTGTAAATCCGGCCCTGGCTCTTAAGTTTACTTTACCTAATTCATTTTTAGCTAAAGTGATAAAAATAAAGGTAAAAATTTCAACAGAGCCATGTCTTTTGTTTGTATACCGCTATGAAGATGTTGATGATGTCCATAAACAATATGTCAAGAGAGAGATTGTCGCCTCCGAATTTTCAAATATGCTGTGAGCGCTACACTGCTTTTTTTTATCAGCACTGGAAAGTTATTGGAATTTAACATAATGCTATATTTTTCTTTACTTAGGGAGGGAAAGATGGATCCCAGTACAGAATAATGGTATAAGCAATTTATAAAGTAAATTAAGATAAAATATTAAACTTTGAGTACCTATCTGTAGTAGAGCTCGATGGCCATTGCCACTACGGTTAGCGCACCAAAAATTTGTTATCTTTAGCTCCTCCATGGTAAGCTGGCATAGTGGGTGGTTCCGATTTAACCACTATTCCATAGCGTCAATAGCGAAGGCCAGTACAGTCCCTTTGCCTCAACAGTGGATCGGATACATTCGTAGGTTGATGCTGACGACGTGTACATACATTATTTGTGCTTGTTCATAGCTGGCTGCACCAGGCTGTCGTCGATAACCACCTGGCTAAGAGGCGGTGCAAGCTCGGCGGCTCGCTGACGCCGCTGCTGCTTGGCCTGTGCCCCAACGTGGAAACATTGATAACCTGATGCTGATGTAAACTTACATTCTTTGTGCTTGCCCATAGCTGGCTGCAGGGGGCTGTCGTCGACGACCACCTTGGGCGGGGAGACGCGGGGCGAGCTCGGCGGCTCGCTGGCGCCGCTGCTGCTCGCTTGTCGTCCAGCCATCTCCTCTGCGCCCGAACTACAAACAAATATTGTTATTATTACTTGAGTTGTGTTAGGGGTGAAAGCTTGCGCACATTCCTTTTTTCACACCTAAATGAACTCCAGGACGGTAGGTACGGAGGGAATATTATTGTTTAATCAAGTTATTTCGAAAGTGTTTCAACGTTATCTAATTGTAAAATAAAAAAGGAAGAAGCATTTGTGCAGGACGACCAGCAGCTATCTTCGCGTCTGGACTTTACCACCACTAATATAACAGGTAGTCCTTTGCGTACGTTATTTTACCATATAGAAAAATGATTTAAAACCTGAACGTGTCGTCTGAGGGGGGCGTGCAAGGCGTGCAGGGCGAGCGCGGCGGCGACGCGGGCGATGCGGCGCGGCTGCGCTCGCGGCGGTGCTGCGGCTTGAACCACTCCGGATAGATGGCACTGAGGGTCTCCACGAGGTCGTGGTCCAGCGTCACGCGCCACGACGCGCGCCCCTCCGAGCCCTCCGAGCCGCCGCCTGCGCCGCACGACGAACGGCTCTCTGAAAATTAATACATAAATAAATGTTGAACCCTTTCACTCGATGATCAAGTGGCACCAGCAACCTCCTCAAGCTTATTCACCAGAGGCCTAAGCACGAATTTTGACCGCTCCGTAATCGTATCGTAACGAAGTTTCTATGAAAACTAAGCGGCTACCTCCGGTAAGAACAAACAGGCTCCTTCCATACAAAATTTGATGATGACGATAAGATTACAGAGCATGGACAGGGATCAAAGCAGACGAATGATAAAGACTGCCGAAATCAAGTAATCACGATCCTCAGTAATGAGGGCTATTAATTGACGAACTCCGTGATGAAGTCCTAGGATGATCGCAATATCGCAAAATAGTGGTAAAAATGGTTTGTATAAAGAATACGAGCGTTAATAACTCATTCTCGGCAAATAAGTCAGACTACAGTTTTAGAACAAAGTAAAAAAGTTTGGGCAATTATGAGCGTGACTTGTTATTTTTACGAAAGTAGCTTAAATGTTGATTTCTATAAGGTGCTGTTTCAAAAACTACTTGCAGAATGAGTGATGTTGAAAGGGTACGGCGGAACTACGTAAAAACATGTGAGCAGCGTAAACAGATCCGAAGAGCGCTAATGAGTCAATAGGTAATAACATTAGATGAAAGATATTTCGGTTATGGGTGCGGATTGTTGTTGGGCAGATTGGGTGAGGCGGGCTGAAACGGTTGGCAGCAAGCAACAAGCCTCAATAGTTAGGGCTGACAAAACAGAAGTCAATAGTAAAATAATGCTCTGAGTTCTTATATGTGACCACTACATTACTAAAATATTTACATTCGCAGTCATATTGTATAATCGAAATTAACAGTTGTAAGATTCATGAAATCTGACATCATTACTAATTAGTCTCTGACAGAGTCTGATAAAAATGACTTGGCAAACATAAACACTAATGACTCATCTCATTGGTTCAACGCTTCGTTAGTGATAGCTTAATCAAAGTATTAATAATACTGGCAGAATTTCGTTTCATAATGACAAAGTAGTTTTATTAGATTAATATGATATATTAGAATTTTTAACTACGCAGTGTGATCAAATGATTAGAATTAATAATTCATGCATATAGAAATAGAGCACGTCTAACTAAACACTTATCTTAACCACTGAGTTACTTTCTAGTGAATTCATTGTTCATAGATTTTTATATACGTGTACGACTTAGAATGAGAAGATAAAAGGAAGCATATGAATTAAGTAACCATTCGAAGTGTTCAATTAATAAATCTATTAATTAAACACTTAATTAAATGTATCGATGTTTGCAATAATATAAAGCTCTCACTTTTTTTAATGATACCACTAAAAACGTCACTTTGATAAGTTTTACACTTAATTGATGTCTCGCTCGAAAGTGCGGTCGCAGTTTCTTCTTATCTTCTGCTAGAAAATTTTCCTTGCGGATGGTCTTACCAAAATTAGCAAAATTTTGTTCCAGCACATTATCGGTAACCCTGATACCATTGCGATTGTTTACGAGCACGATTGTTAGGAGTCCTTGAACGTGTTTGCGTACGCTAAACTCGCTCCTAGCTCTTTGATGCATCAATGCTCAAGAAGGAATGCAATTGCCACTTTACGATTTTATGAATAAATCGTGAAGTTTCTATCATGGTTTTTAGAGAAGCGCAAACTCTTTATCTACGTATTGGAAATTGAAACTAAACCATGGCAAATTCCATTTTAGCGATACCTAAAGCGAAGCTAAACATATTAAACATTAAAGAACTACGCTCTTTTAATGTATGTATCAAAATGTTGACACGGCGATTGTTTTGCAGATAAATGTTAGATTAGTCATGTAACTCAACGACATCTCAATATTAGCTTTGCACATCATAACACACAATAATTTTTAAAAAATCCGTTAAAGGACAATGTTAAAATTGGCCTAAGAACCAACACCAATTTGGCATTTATGATAATTCTTAGTATATTTTTTGCGATAATTATCAGTATTTAGATTGTGACGGACACTTCCAGTTAAGTAAGCCAAATTAAAAAGTTAAAAAATAATCTGAAACAATAAATACCATTTTATATGTATAATCTGTGGCATCGCTGCAAACAAAACACTCTTTCTTCCTAATGCCGGCACTTCACTCGGCTATTCGTATTTGCTATTTTAAAAAATGACTTCAGTCTGTCCTTTTCATTCCTTATTAAGCATGACAAGGACAAACTGTTGTCAAGTGATGGGCCGGCATAAAAATCGTTACTCTGTGGTTGTGGTGCGTGCAATTTGCATTTGTAGTAATCTGTGGCATTCGTGCATTCCAAAGAGTAGTTTAATATACCGAAAAGTGCATTCTCGTTTCGGATTACAACTATTTCGGCTATCTAATATGCCATCGATGTTACCAAAGAGCAGAGCCCTTACCGAACAGATTACCAAGTGCTAGTGAACCTGTGCCATAACATCCTGAGAGGATCATACTGCCAAATTATTCAAGAACACCTGATACACATTCACGCTGCATATTTACACAATAAACATGTGATATACAAATAAATACAATAAACAATATGATACAATTATGTGACAAATAGTCATTAAATAAAAAGCAAAAAAACAGTTTTTATTTTATTCGTGATTCTTACCTAACCAAGTTTTTCCTAATAGTTATTCTTTAAAATCGCACCGAATAAAATGAATTAGTTGTAATATTAATTCACTTCATACTGAGTTTATACTAAATTCATAGGTTGAACTATGTTTCATTGAATATTAAAAAAAAAATAGTTTTCCTAATAATTTAAGTTCTCAGAAGTGTCCGTCAATAATCTTTGTTTTAACAGTCATTTACTTACGATTTTGAACCTAGAAAATAATATTTCATGATTGTTGGTTCTTAGGCTAACTATGTATGGACGCTGAACAATGTCCTTTGATTAGTTCTTGCTATTTGAGTGGAAAAGTTAGAAGCCTCCTCGCCAATCCTAAAAATGCTTCGATCGATGCTTACATCACACCAATAACTTAAATACAATACAACGCACGCCTGGCCGTATGGAAAATATTGATAAAATTCGGTATCAATGTATTTAGTATACATAACATCATTTATCATACTTATTGTTGTTTTACGAAGGTGCGCCAGATTGGATAATTTAATAAGATAAACGTCTATCACGCGTTTTTACTCACCCGTAGATATTACAGAATACCTTTTTGTAAACAAACTGGCACACGTGCGGAACGATGAGTCATGCTCAGGCGCGATACTCGCCTGCAGGTGAGTATGGAACTCAAGGGTTAAGAAGATTACTGATTTTGTTTGTGAAACACATACAAATATATCGTAGATACACAGCCAGTTTACAAGAGACGTTTCCACAATTTGTTTGTTCAACACAAGTAGGTACTACAATCATCAAATTGTTATCAGGTTAGTAATAAGGTTTTTAATAAAAAGGGTCCTGTAAAGTGTCAGTTAACATCGTTATTACTTCCGGAATGCAAACTGTCCATAAATGAAATTATCAATATTATGAAATTCGCACAATGCATTTACTTGATTGATATGAGAGGTTACAAACTGTACCTCTCCTACTTTCATACTTATAACACTTTAGTTGGCACACATACATTAATGATTGGAATGAAACTCAGGATACTTTTTTATCCCAGAAAAATGTTAGGTTCCCGGGGGATTCTCCAGAAACTAAAGTTAACGCGGGCAAAGTCACGGGCAACCCGCTAGTTTGTGTGTGTATTTACATATCTCCACAGGTTTTTTTTTACAAATTATTAACTGTTGATATAGATTTATTTAAATGTATTACACTTTTATTGACCGAGACGTGTGTGGGTGGGTAGCTAAGGCTACTTACCGAGTAACTGACAGTTCACAGAATATTTTCTGCTTGATTGATAATTAATTTCCGTTGTGTATTTCTCTTTGGCACATGTGAATTAATCATGCAACACAAAACTGCAACACGAAAATAACTAGGTCACCTTCCTACCTCGGCACTACGATACCTCTAAGAGAATATAAATTATTCACACCGGATGGTGTAAGAATGCCAAGAAATCTTCAGTCTGGTATACTATAAACCATTTTTTTTATTTGGCAAATTGCGAGACAGATGCTACATTATATTTTCCTAAATGTTGGCTAACTTCACCACCTCATTATCGGCACGAAAAAAATGCAGTCATGCGTCAATTCTAAAGCATGCGCATGAAAATTAGAATTCGGTGTTTAATAAAATAATTAGAGGAAAAGATAAAATAATGATTAAACTGATAAAATTCTCAATATAAGCGCAGACCTTGTATCGTGGGTGGATTCAACGGGTTGATATAATTAACTTACCTATTCATTACATTGTATAAAATAGTCGCTTTTATTTCCGCGTTTGTCTGTATATTCGCTAACTACTCCTTAATCACGCAAAGAAATTTGAAGGGGTTTTGCCACCACGTATTAAATATTTTTCACAGAAGGTTAGTAAGGTTGTAAGTATGATACAAGCACAAGAAAAAAAACTGTAGTCTATAACCCGACCCCGTAAAAGAAAGGGTAAAAAAAACATATTTAAATATCCTCCTACTCAACAAGCTCTAGACAAAGATGTGGCACATGCTGAGATTAAAAAGAAATAAAATCGTCTCTTTTTCATGCATGCAAAAAAAAATATGGAAGTTTTAAATAAATTTTCGGTTTGGGCAATTATTCTACATAAAATATCAAAATTTCAGTTCTGTAACTCCTTCCGTTTACGATCTAGGGATCCGTGACATACAGGCAGACAGACAATCGACATAATGACAGCAATGGGGTTCCGATTTGACCCTTTGGGTAGACTTTGATAGGTTCCATTAAACAAATGAAAACATCTAAAACTAAGAGATCACGTCCACCGTAACAAAATATACCTTGAGCTGTTTACATTCTAAATTCAATTCGTCATTTTACAACGTTTTCTTTTTAGATATAAACGTAGCTTTATGCCGG